AAAATTAGTTTTACCTCCCTGCTACCCCCCGTTAAGAGACCAGTACTTTAAGTTGTATTAAACTAACTAACTAACTTAATAACTTTGAAAATTTTAGGTGTTCCTTCTCACCTACTTTTTCGGGATGGCCGCCTCGGTTTGGTGGGTGGTGCTGTCTTTGACGTGGCTGTTGGCTGCTGGTGAGTTAGAATTTATTTTGGTTATTCTTTATTTTGGAACATTTTATATATTAATAAATTAATTCTATATCTATTTTCAATATTTAGGCTGTAAATGGAGCACAGAAGCCATCGCCTCCTACAGTGTCCACTTCCACATCGTTGCCTGGGGTCTACCGGCAGTTCAGGTATTGAATTTTAGAAAAAAGATTTTTATTAAATGGTAGTATAAATGTATATAAATATAAGAGGAATAAATACTGTTTTTAGACCGGTCTGGCTCTAGCATTCTCGGCTATTGACGGTGATCCGGTATCTGGCATCTGCTACGTCGGCAACACGAACGTTCACTTCTTGAGGCTCTTTGTTTTGGGTGAGAAAAAACACTAAAAACTGAAAAACTCGATTTTTAGGTCCTCTCACCGTATACTTTGTATTTGGCGTCCTGTTCCTGGCCATTGGCTTCTTTAACTTGTGGCGTATTCGTATTGAGGTAAGCCACAAGATCAAATAGGAAAAAATCGGCTGAATCAGTTCGCCCTCTCGTGCTGTATCTCGGTTGCCTGTTGGTCCATAGGTATGTAAAGTATACCAAAATGTTTGTCTTGTTTTGGCGAGTATTTTGATATACTTTACAACCATGTAAAATAAAACATAGCCGAGTTATGGTTGGAGAAAGAAGGCCGGCTGAGGGGAGGTATCTGCTGACTTCTCAAAAATCAATTTTCAACATACATTTACAGGTCCAAAAACAACAACACGGCCTGGAAAACGTCACGAAAGTAACGCAGCTAATGTCGAAAATTGGCATCTTTTCGGTTCTGTACACGGTAGGATTAAACCTTAAATTCTCTTAAGAAACCATTACAGGTCCCAGCCCTGTTCTTGATCCTCGTCCTCTTCTATGAGCAGCGCCATCGGCCACTCTGGGAGCAAGCCGCTTTGTGTAGCTGCTCGAGCACCAAAGCTGATACTGGTTAGCTAATTCACCTTGTAAAAAATTGCAAATTTTAGGAGAAGCTGCCTTGCTGCTGGCCCTGATCAAGACCGCCTCAATGTTGGTGGTTGGCTGGACGTCAGGGGTGTGGATTCTGTCGAAGAAGACGTTACGCTCTTGGCGGGATCGTTTTTGTTGTCTTTCGAATAGACATAAATATCAACCGGTTAGTTAAATAAAATTAATTCACTATACGCAATAATTTTAATTAGATAAATTTTAACGTAGTAACGTAAAGTAACGTAGTTTTGAAAGTTTTTCATAGAATTCAGGGAATTTGCTTATGGAAATGTCGGCATTCTGAATTTCGACATTTTGAAAATAACGCCTTTTATATTACACTATCTTAATCTTAAATTAAAACTGGGATATATTTTTATGTAGAATCGCATTAATTAAAGCCTATAACAATATCGAAAATGTCGAAAATTTACTTTATTTATCGCGATTTTTATATATTCAAATGTTAAACAATGTCTAAATTATATATATTTTAAATTCTATATATTTCAGGCTGAGTTAATCTACGGGAAAAGCGAATGTTCCACTCCTCATTTCTACAACACCACCCTCCGGCAGCACCACCTCTACAAACAGCCCATGTTGCCGGAAAAATTGTAGAAAATTCAGAGTTTTTCTCCCAAAATGTCATATATTTATTGACATTTTATTCCCATCGTGATTTTTGACAATCTAGTCCGTGTGATATATTGAAACGAACTTAGAATTAATTATTTTACAATTTTTGTGCCTACCGTAATACCTCTAATTTTGCGAATTTTCAACCTTTTTTTATGTTTTCATGATCTCAGCGTTTCCGGATGATTTGGGTGCTCACTGGAACCGCATTTTTGACACCACTCAGGCTTTCACAGTGTCTGTTGTTTTCGACATTTATTTTCTACATGTGCATTAATGGCCTGTATCTCGAGCTTATGCCATTTTCCCCCACAAATATTTAGAATTTATCACCATCGATTCTACCAAAAACAGAGCCTTTTCCACAGGGTGCTGCCCCCCTTGTTCTCAGCGATTCATTTTGTATTTATAAATATTTGATGAAAAAGGTGATGATGCAGAATAGAAAACACAGGATTGGGTGGGGTACGGTAGATCTGTTGCAAGAATCGCCGACACAACAGTGAAATTGGCCGGATTGGCCGTTGTAGGAAATTTTTTGGCTGCCGCTTTTCTGAAAACTATATAGTTTTTAAAAGGAGGGAAAGGTTTGAAATAGAAATTTAATGATTCATATATTGCCATGCTAAAATTTTAACGCTCTTTTCGACCTTCTGAAATCCGACATTATGAATTTCGACATTTTGACTGTCGATATTTTGAAACTACTCCATTATATATCATTATTTCATTTTAAAATTAAGATTTACAGTATAAGTTCTTACACTATCAAATGGCATTAAAGAAAATTTATAAAGATATAGAAAATGTCGAAAGCTTGCGTATTTATGTGTATTAGAAAAATACCGAAAATACCGAGCTTCGACATTTTGAAAGTAACCCCCTATAAGACTTAAATATATACATTTCCTTAATTATTATCATAGCTAATTCTAACATACCGTACACGGCTTCCCCTTCATGTAGATATTGTTCACCTCCCCGCAACCACAGCCCCAATAAGAGGTATATTTTCCACCATTCTAAAAGAAGATAATAAGGGAGAGAGAGGGAGTGAGAGAGAGAGAGAGAGAGAGAGAGAGAGTGAGAGTGAGAGAGTGAGAGTGGTCGAGAATGAGAGAGAGATAGAGAGAGAAATGGAGAGGGAGTGAGAGAGAGATAGAGAGAGAAATGGAGAGGGAGTGAGAGAGAGAAATGGAGAGGGAGTGCGCGAGAGAGAAATAGAGTGAGAGAAATGGAGAGAGAGCGTGAGAGAGATAGAGAGGTAGTGAGAGAGAGTGAGAAAGGGAGAATGAGAGAGGGGGATGAGAGAAATGGAGAGGGAGTGAGAGAGAGAGAGAGAGAGAGAGAGAGAGAGAGAGAGAGAGAGAGGATCAGAGACGAGAATCCAGACTTACCAAAAGTTCTATTTTGGAGCAATAGTCACAATCATGCCAGCACAGCTGTGTCGTTTTCTGAATTTGGGGCTCTTGATTTGTCGTAAAATTCGTCGCTATTTTTATTTCCTTCAAAGAAAACACCGGTTTTAAGGTCTCCATTTTCTTAACTCTATTTTTTTCTAAAATAAAATGATGCAATTATCCGATGCAAAAATTAGTTAAAAACGTACATTTCCCGTATGCGCCTGCCCGTGTGTATTTGAATCAAAGAAGCAATTCCATCGCCCAGACTGCCTGAATACAGCCAACAAAAATCCAAAGATTTTTCATAGCTGAAATTTCGGGAAGACAGACCCAAAACAGGAACTGCTTGCAAGGAAACCATGCCCCTTATCACACCCTTCAACAATAAGCCGCCGGATTACAATGTTTCTCGCGTGTATGAACCAACCTCAAAAATCTCTTCCTAATTCTACGATGACGATCTTCAGGCCTGGTGGCCAAAGAACAGCGCTAGATTTTGGTACTGGACTGTTAGCGGGGGGGGGGGTAATTTATTCCCATTAATCGTGTACGTCCTATATAAAAAATATATCATTTTCATGGCCTTTTATACAGTTTTTAGATGCAAAAATCTTATCAAAAAAAACTGCTAAAAAGTTCCAAAATGTATAAAAAATCGCTAAAGTATTTATTTTCGAATTTCTAAAAAGGTTTAAAATAATGCTAATTTTTAGCTATCAAAACTACTAAAAACATTGCCAATGCACGACTTATTATTAGATGGAAAACAAAAACTAGTTCCCCCTGCTAACGGTCCAGTACCCTAGATTTTTTCGTAAAGGTCGCATAACGGGGGGATAACGGGGTGGAAGCCATTTTTGTATGTACAAAAAATATCCTGCTATTTTGAAAACGCCAACGAATAGATCGTCGAGGATTATACTAAGAAATTTAATTTCAGTCTGAAAACCTCATTTTTAACGATATTTAATTCATTAAACTTTTTAACCTTAATAAAGTAATAATTTTAAATTGTGGTATTTCGGACTGAAATTATTCTCTTAGTATATTTTTCGACGCTCTATCCGATGCATGCTTGAATTGACAAGACCAGGTCAGGATAGTTTCCACCCCCGTTATCCCCCCCGTTAAGCGACCTTTACCGATTTTTGTGTAATGATTTAAAATCGACGCAATTCCAGAGAGTCGACAAATAAAGCTTTTTATTAACATTTAATACCCGATTAAACAACTCGTAACATGAAATGACGTATAATGCAAGGGTCAAAATAAAGCATTTAAAGTGAAAGACATAAAAGCTCGAGTAATTAAAAAACCATTCAAAAGAAACTTGAATAAAGTTACTAATGTGTTTTTCGCTGGCGCTTCTTTCCGGTTTTCTTAGCCGAAGTGACCTCTGGCTTAACGTCCTCCACTTTCTCTTCCGCGTCCATAACATCCTGATAATCCTCAGGATTCGGGCTTCGTTTGATAGTCACAGCCAATTGTTTCCTGGCCAATTCTCGGGCCTCTTCAGGAAGCGTTGTATCTTGTACCTGCTTCTTCAATCCCTCCACAAGATCTGATATTCCGAAAATTCTTGGCGATGGATCGTCGTTCGACGGGCTCATGAATCCGTCAAAACTTGTCGTCATCGGGGTTGCGGCCATCACGATATTCTGGACGTATTGTTCTTGCGCTGCCACTATTAGGCTAACCAGTGGCTGCTCAAACGTCATTCCTTGCTGCGCGAGTTTCAAAGCCAGTAGGGCTCGAATATCGCCAACCGATGTCAGATCAGGAGTTGGCCGTCCGTCGGCATCCTTCATATTTTGCCGAGCAGTCTTCTTAAGTGAAATATCCGTATTGGCGAATTCCCAGAGAATTGTACGAATTTCCGAGTTTTCTTTTGGAAATTTGCCGCCGAGAATGTCCGTTACGGTGTTGGCATATTCCACGAGGCCAATGGTACCGCGGAAGAATCCAATGTAGGTGTTCAGCCATTTCGTGTAATTCTCGTCGGATAGGCCTGTCTTCAGCAGCTGAAGCAGTTCGTGTAGACGCGCCATGTCTTCGTTGATTTTTTTCTGATCACCATCATAGTCATCTTCTTCTTCATATTCATCTGGGAAGAAAGGTGCGAGCAGGGAACGTGCGGCGTACGACGACATCCGAACTGAAAAAAGTGGTTTAGAATGCCGGAATTCTTTTGAAAAATAAACTAGTAAAGAATAAATAACAAAATAGAAAAAATGGGAACTTTTGAAAGTAATACAATTTGCATATGGAGTAGAGGCGACATGATTACGCGGCGTAATATCGGAAAGTCGCGTAGTGTGGAGCATGGGCTGGGATGGGCCAGATCAATGGTGCATGGAGGTAAGCATATCAAAAGGCCATCTGTCCTATTTTAAAAAATAATTCTTTCTCGCCAAAAATTGATGATATTTTTTTGAACTATACCTTTATGAATTGCGTTGCATTATTTGAATTACTATAATTTATTTTTCAGCAGAACTTCTGTAATGGCTTCTACCTCTCACGGCAGCGTCTTCAGGGATGGTTCCTCGGAATCGGAATTTGCGCCTGATCAACATCTTATTGATACGCTATTGACACAGGTAGGTAGATTGGATCACACATTTATTTTGAGCTTGAGATTCAGAGCTTGAGAGCTTGAGCTTAAGAGCTTGAGCTTAAGAGCCTGAGCTTAAGAGCTTGAGCTTGAGCTTGAGCTTAAAAGCTTGAGCTTGAGGGGTTGAGATGATGAGCTTAAAAGAGCCTTAGCCTAATCCTAATTAAGAAAACTTCCAGCCCTCTACCTCCTAGTAAAAACCTATTAAAAAGAATTTCTAAAAAAGCTATGCAATATTTTCAGGTTGATAACGATACAGTTGAAGCAATTATTGAAACACAAAAGCAAAGGTAGTTTTCTAAGCCTTCTAAACATTTTTTACTCCGTTTTCAGCCTCTATCGTTTCGAAAAAACTAATGAAATGATGAGCAACTGTAATCAGCTTTCAGAAAAAAGACTGGATCGAGCGAGGTATTAAACTTTATTCTATTTAAAGTTTAAACAAAGGAACGAAAATGCTATATTTTTAGAAGAGACATGATCGCCCATAAAGAAATGATCGGCCAGATGAAGGGCGACCTTGAATTTATTTTTCGTAAAATACGACTATTCAAGAATGCGCTTGCCAGCAAGTATCCGGGAGTTTATAAACAAGGTTTGTGTTATATTTAAATCATAATAAATATGTTTTTAGTTGAAAGTGAGATGAAGCAAAAGAAGGAACCGAATGAACTGGAGGACGAGGCACCTTGATCAAATTTTCGATTTTCCGTCGAATAAACGGGTCTGAGATATGTAAATTGCTTTGGTCTGCACTTTGAAAGAGTCTTAAGGAATCATGGAAATTATTTATTGGCCGTAATCCGTTTTTGCCTTCTACATAATATAGTTAGTGCAAGCAACTCAACGCTGAAAAACGAAATGAAAATTGCGGCGACGGAATAGAGTAATGACGTCTCGGCGCAGAGGTTTTGGTGGCCTGAAAAGAGTACGATTGAGTGGGGGGATACTGTAATTTTTTAAGCACATTAAGTTTGGTATTAGTGAACTTATAGGGGATGGAGAGAAATAGGTTGTTCCCCCCTGCTAAACCAGGAAAACGACCTGTTAAGATTAAATCGTGTATTTCTACAAATTTTTCTTACTTTTTGATTGCCAGAAAATTACAAAAAATATTTTTAGCATCTTTATACGTTTTTAAGCTTTTTTGCATCTCAAAACTGTATAAAATCCTATAAAAATGGTTCTTACAGATACGTGGAAAAATTAGTTTCCCCCTGCTAACCCCTCACCCCCGCTAACAGTTCAGCACCCAGCAACCCACTTTTTTCGACGGTAAATTCCGCTACAATCCGTGTCACCTCGGCGCTCGGGTGTGGCATCTCTAGCTCGGGACTTCTTTTTGCTACTTGGTGACAAGTTGGCTGAAATTTTCAATATCTAATGAATTAAAAATTTGCTTACATGCGGACATCCAGTACATTTCTTGACCAAACACGTGATACGTACCGATTCGCCGTCGGAGAATTTGAAAGCTCTGAATTGATTTATTCATATGTCTGAAACCTTAAAGGCCTACTTTATCGCAAATGTAAAGCCATCATCTCGATATCGAATTCGATGTGTAACGACATGATCTTGGCCAGGCATCGAGCAACTGGAGAAACAAATGTTTAAAAAAGCGTAATTAGTTCTGTACTGTTAGCGGGGGGACCACTTTTGGTTTCCACATTTACCTACCTGTTGATATTGGGTAATGCATTTTTACAATGTTTTTCGTCGTTTTTGTTTGGTAGCGAGTTCCAAAAAATTCGAAACATCTGTGAAAATTCGAGAATTTTGAGCTTTTTTGGTCCCGTGCTATACATTTTTAACCAAAAGGTTAAACATTTTCCGATTTTAATAATTTTTTATAAGCGTTTTTATCTAAAAAAATGTCAAATGCAATAAAAAGCCCTTATACAGGGTGTCCCAATAAAAAAGGTCACGCTGGCATTTTCTCATTTCAAATCCGATCGGCATGAAATTTGGAACAGAGCTGCGGAAGGGAATTTAAAATGTTCACAGAAACTTTCAGCCCGATCGGTGCAGTAGTTTTCGAGTTATAACAAAAATACTGTTTTTACAACACTTTTGCTTCCGTTTTTCGGCTATCTTTTTTGGACTTTGCATCAATTACCATCAATTTCGGCCCTAAATCCCTCATTCTTCTTAACAGCGGGGATGATAGCACCTTGTTAAAATTACTTAAACAACCTTTTTCCAAGACGTATTTTACGAAATAAAAAATTTTCTGGGGTAAAAAAGGGTCGGCGCTTCATTTTTGCCATACATTCCAAGGCTCAATTCCGGCGAAATCCAGGTTAAAAACATAAAATAAAGTTTATTTTTGCTATAACTCGAAAACTACTGTACGGATCGGGCTGAAAGTTTCTGTGAACATTTTAAATTCCCTTCCGCAGCTCTGTTCCAAATTTCAGAAAGATCAGATTTGAAATGGCGAAATGCCAGCGTGACCTTTTTTATTGGGACACCCTGTATATTGTCATAGTGCCCTATGGAATTACTATGAAAGTTTTGGTCCCCGCAAACCCCCCGCTATCAGTCCAGAACCATTTAACTTATACCCTTTCTGTATTAACGATATATTCCGCAAATTCTTTCGATCCGTGGCATAGCAGCTATCCAACGAAAATCCTCCTGTGAGTGCCGCATCCATGAAGTTGAGCTGCACCGGGTCGCCCAGTTCCACAATTTCCGGCTGTCAATCTTGGTACCAAATTTATCGTTTAATTCCTACCGTACTCCTGCCAATTTGTCTCATTACCATCTGCCTTGGGGATTGTACAGTACCCTGTACAGCAAGATCTTTCGCTGCATGAAGTCTAAATACGGTAAAAATATCATTTTTGCTTCCCTTACTCGATGCCTAACGGGCGTGATTTCGCGATGGTTGAGTGGTTTTTGCCGTATTTACAGCTTAAATGGAACAACCGATCGTCGTCAGTTAATACGGACGATTCTCCTGGGCTGCTTTTTACAATCAGCACCGTTTTGTAGAGTTTTAGGACCTAGAATTTGCATATAATTAACATTGGTACTTTTATCACCTCATCATACTCGGCTCGACAACTCGAATTTGATCCGAGTTCCAACGTCAACGTCGCTTTCCCATTTACGATCTGTTCTCGGCAGCCGTCATGGAAATTTCGCGGGAATATCACGCCATTGAACGGCACCGGGGAAGACAGCTAATTTTGTTTAGCACCAAATTAGCATCCCCCACCTCGATCAATATATTTCCAAAACGACAGTGTGGAGTTATGGACACTTCTGGAGGAGCTTCCGTTTTTATATGTTTTAAGGGTTCGAGCGGTTTGATTTTTTGGAGCTTCTAAATCGGATTATCTATTGTAGTTAGAACAAAAGGTAATGGTTGCTTAACGGGGGTGGGAACAACTACCTTTATTTCAAATTATTAATTTATTAAGCTAGAAAAAGCTGAATTAAGTAAAAACCGTTGTAAGGTTTTTCGAGCTAAAAGTAAGTATACCAACAATCATTTTGGTAAAATCTTTGACGCTCTATCCGCTTCCAAAACAGGAGGAAAACTTTTAGGAATACAAGAATTGTTTTATCCACCCCCGTTAAGCAACTTTTACCAAAAAACTTACTTTCTGTGGCTTCCTCTTGATTGTCCTTCTTTGGAACGCCCCCGAATCTCCAGACACCTTCAGCAGCAACGTTTTTGAGGCCTCGATTTTTCGCGGATGTTGCACCAAATCAGAATCATCGAAAGAACATTGGAAATTGAGTTAAGAACTATGAATAATACCCTGTATTGTATTTTCAACGTCTGATCCATAGGAGAACACGTTTAATTGGTAATGATGGCAGGTCTGAAATCCATAAAAATACTAATGTGAAAAATAAACCTCATTTGAGGCAAATTTCTTCATGCCAATCTCGAACAATTCACATTTTCTTGTCAATCGATCGTAACTAACGGCTTCGCAACTGTTTAAGGTTAATTTATATCTTAAAGGCTTGTGAACCGTCGATCGTCGCTTCGGAGGCATTTATTGAAACATTTCGTTCGGCCGATATCCAATGAAACGGCGCCACCGGTAACGCATGTTGGTGTTTCTTCGAAAATGAATCCTGAACAGGTTTTTAAAACGACTCCTACAGGAAAGAAATGGAAAAGACGATACTGTTCCCTAGCCCAAAGGCCGCAAACATGTCGATATTTTACTAATTTTTGGGGTTTTTTTTTTAACGCGATTCGATAGAGCATAGAAAAATATACTATGAGTTTATATGGTAGGTCAACATATTGTAAGGGAAAAAAGTTATAGCAAAGACAAACAAATCCGGAAACTTTAAAAGGAAAAATCTAGTCTAGTCCAGATACGTTGCTATATAAATGCTAGACTTAACAACCGGCTTACCTAGGTCTGGCTGCAGTCCAGATGCGACACATTTCCGCTCCAAAATCCGCGGGAGGCTCCGGATCGAAATTTCGGAGATTCGACAACCTGTATTTCCGACATAACCAAAGGCGCAATTCTCGTCGTTCATGCATCTAAGATTCCATTAATTTATCAATTTCCGGGGTTTAACCCACGCGCTCAAGCATTCACTCCTTAGCCGTGTTTCCATCGAATGTCTCGTGACAAAAATACTTTCACGTGGCGGACAACGCACCACTCCACTTCTACACAGCCTTTCAAAGACCATCGTGCCATTTTCAGGAATGACGGATGGGATCCCGGAAAGATTTTCGAACAGCCGAGTGCAGGTCGAGGTCCCCTAAACGTTTTTGTATTTTTATTAAACCAATTATTTAATTCAAAAAATACCTCCGTATATATTGCAAAGTCGCATCCATTACATGTTGACAAACACTAAACGTGGTGGATTTTGAATAGGAATCAATATTTTTCTACCTCTTCAATTGAAGTCGAAATTTCCGTAGCAACATCAGCGCGTATATTGATTTGTAATGATGGTATCAAAGTAAAGGCGTTTCTCCGCCTTTCACAAGGATCCCCATCCAATGCTCCCAACTCGAAGAAATCGACGGAAAATCCGTTTGTATCGGCGCTGAGGTCACTTTCATGAGAATCAGCATAGTTGAGGAAACAATCTTTTTCTTCTGCATACCACATCGTTGATAGGCACGTGAAGTTCTGGAAGCGATGTCAGCTATGAAAATAGATAAACCGTTTGCTGGAAACATTTGGAAATGCAGTCTAGCTCTCCCTCGGCAGGCACAACTTTTTCGGTTTGCGCAATTAGCACGTGGCCTCTGACACGACGTATTAGTCTTGGGCCGCCGGGACCTAAAACAACAGTTACGTATGGCCTAAGTTAAGCTAAGCCACGCCTAAGCCAAGCTAACATACTGCTAGGACAAGCCTAAGCTAAGCCTAAAAGCTAAGCCTAAGCTACGCCTAAACCGAAGCTGAGCCAAAGCCTAAGCTAAGCCCAACCGAAGTCTAAGTCCCAGGATAAGTCTAGGCCTAAGCTTATGCCGAGACCTAAGTCTAAGCTAAGCCTGCCTAACCTAACCGTCCCCTAACTGTAAAGTGTTTTTACTCAGGCTGGCGTTTCAGGATGGGACCAAGAATTTGGTCAGAATCAGCTTGGTCAGAATTTTTGTGCTGATTCCGAATCCGTTTTCCAAATTTGCTGCGGACTTCGCGTTGAAAAGTCATTTTTGGTCTAAATTAAGCTTAAAAACGGCATAAATTTGGATGCTGGCCCACTATTCCCTGTCTGGGTCCAGGTCTTGTTGCGCCCCTTATCTACCCTCCCGAAGCCGCGTTCCCAGCTCGCACCATGGTGCATTGGTAAGAAAACCTAAGCCTCCTAAGCCTCACCAACAACACATTCCTTCTTGACGAAACGCCGCGTGTCCAGGAGTCCATAGTACTCATGCGTATTTATTGCCGCACAAGAGTTTTTAGATAGCAATACTCCTATAGAAAAGTAAGAACAATTCTAGAGTGGGAAAAGCGTACCTGTGCAATTTGAAATAGCACATTGTCGAAAGCAGGGGCTTCTCGTCAGCAGATTAAAATGTTTTGCTGATTTTTCAGTTATGAAAACGGGAGATGATCCCTCAGAGCATATAAGTGAGGCGGTAATTAGGAATAAAGTAGATGCGAGGAGAAAATGGCTGAAATCGTTCAATTAAAAGAGGTAAGTGCCAGATTATTCAAAACTATAGGCTTTTTTTAATAATTTGGCTTAATTTTGAAAAATACAATATATTTAAACTAACCATAACATTAAACTTGGATTCTCAGCTAGCCGCTAGCCGCAAGTATGTTCCAATGATGTGTTGATGGCCTTGTAGGGTTTAGGGGTTTTGAGGAAGGGGTGGAAGGGGTATGGGGGATGACCCGGTTAGGGCTTACAGAAGTCACGCTTCGAAGCCCCGGAATGGCAGTGACCCCCTTCGCCTTCGAGTCGCCGCCATCATCGACGGCGCCGTATTTGTCCAAGTTCAGATTCCGCCCATTTCGTTTCCAGGTTTTCCTAAACCCTCGAATCGCATTGGTGTGAATTTGGTTGAGGAGAGGAGGATGGGGAGGAATCTGAGGAAGTTGGGAGAGAATTTGAGATCTGGGCTATTAGCGGGGGAGAGAGAGTTAAACCTGGGCTTTTGCATAATAGGTTGACGATAATGAAAACATACATCTAGCTTACAAACTTTTTACACTGTTTTTAACCATAGAAAATTTACAAAAAAATTATTGCCATTTTCTAAAAATATTTGTTACCCTTTTAACATCTACTAAGGCACTAAATACACTACACTAAAATAACTAAATACACCAAATAAGATCAACAAAAACTACGAATTTTTAAATTTTTGAATTTTGCGTTGTTTTGAAGTATAGAAATTTTGAAAAATTTTATTTT